GCCGCCCGCTGCCGCCCGAACGCGCTCGCGTGCCTCTGCCCCGTGCAGCGCACCCGCCGCCGGCATGGCACAGGAGGGGCGAGCCTATGGTGAAGTCGGGCGTGCCCCTCTACAGGGAGAATCTGCAACCATAGGGAAACATGGTCTGGAGACGATGTGTGGAGCACTTCTGGGCAATTTCGGGCATTGTTTGGCTGTCTTGTTATCTTTCCTCCAACATCCCCCTGTAAGGGGACACGCCCGACTTAAGCCTATGGGGCCAGTGCGATCGGAGTGGGCTCGGGAAGAAGTGCGAAGACTGGCAGCAGTCCCTGTCCACTGTGAGCAGGGCTCACTATCTTCTCCGCCGCGGGCGTGTCTGTTTGAGACAGGAGGCCGCCTGCCGAACAGCGGCCGCTTGTCGGTATTGGACAACGTTTGCTGCTGGGCAGGTCCCTCTACAGGAGGAATATTCAGAAGTTGCCGAGCAATGCTCTCGGGACCGTTTTTCTTTTTGTGGCAATGTTCGAATTTGTGTTTGGTACTTTTTCTGGTTCCTGTCAAAACCCGCCTGCCTGTAGGAGGACATGCCCGACCTAAGTCGAACAGGTCATTCCCAGGGAGGCGGAGACGACCGTGACTCGCGCGTCGCGGCCTCGCGGCCAGAGTGGCTGCCCCTCTCCACAAGGGTGTGGAACCGCAGAGCTCGAGTCCGCGGGCACTCGGGCGGACCGCCGATGTTGGACGGACCCGTTCGCGGAACCTTTTGACGGTGCCGTTTTCGTTGGGCGTTGGCAGCGGGAGATCGCGCCATCTTTCACATAGGGTCTCCTCAGGCGGCTCCGCCGGGCCAGCCTTGGTCCCCCGAGCCCGGGTCCTATGGTGCCCCTGGCAGGAGGGGTGGGCGGCGCGTGGGCTCGAGGGTGCGAAGGTGCTCGCGCGCGAGGCTTTTGGGCTCTTTGGGGGCCAAGACGCCCTCCCCAACTCCAGCCCGAAGCCCCTGGATTGAGGTCAGGCGTGTCCTCCTACAGGGGGATTCTGGACGACAAATGAAACATAGTCGAACCATTTTCCAGATTGGCTGAATTAGTCGGAACATCGTCCCCGACTATTTTTGAATACTCTTCGTGTAGAGGGACATGGCCGACTTAACCCTGGATCACCAGGTCGGGAGTCGGGAGTGGGGATCCTGTCCGCGGGTGGGGGTGAGCCGAGCTGTCCTCAGAGCCGACGGTGCTCGACAGAGGCGACGACCACGACGGCATGACAACGACGACGACGACGACGACGACGACGACGACGACGACGACGACGACGACGACGACTACGACGACGACGACGACGACGGCGACGACGACGACGACGACGACGACGGAGGCGTAGTCGGCGGCGGCGGCGGCGGCCAGGGGTGACGGCGATCGACGACGACGTCGACAACAACGACTTGCGAAACAAGTGTTGTGCAGTTATCGTTGTTGTTGTGGTTGTTGGTGTTGCTGTTGTTGCTGTTGTTGTTGCTGCTGCTGCTGTTGCTGTTGTGGTTGTTGTTGTTGCTCTTGTTCTTGCTGCTACGCGACGTAGTACACCGTCCCCCCTCCCAGCAAGCAGCAACCCCAGCAACCCCGCTGTGGGGTTGCCAGGGTGGCTTACAGGATCCCTGTCACTCCTTCTAGGCGGCCAAAATGACGCCCCCACGGAACCCCTAACCCTTTAATAGTTCTATGGGGCCCTAGCGGACCCATAAAGGTTCCCTACGGAGCCCTTCAAGAGCCGAGTGGGATCCTTGCCACACCTCATGGGTGCTCTCCTAGGGCCCCTGCGGCGCCCTATCGGACCCTCACACGAGTCCTGAGGAACATTATGGGTACCCTCTTTGGCACCCTACGGAGCTGTAGGAGACTTGTAAGTTCCCTACGGGACGGAATTCCACATAACCCTACGAGGACCCCCAGGGGAACCTACAGGAGCCCTATAAGGTCCCCGCGGAACCTTCTGGCAATCATGTAGGGTCCCTACGGTGCCCTCTTGAGCTTCCCTAGGGTTCCTACGCAAATCCAACAGGGCTTTCCAGGACCCCTACGGCACCCCACAGGAGCCCTATGGGAACCCTACGGGACCCGATTGGGGCCGACTTCGGATCCGATCGCGTTCTGTAGGAATCCCACTAGAGCTGCATCCAGTTCTGAAGGGATCCCTTCAGGGTTGTATCGAGCTTTGGTGGGATCTCTGTGGGGCTGCATCGAGCTCTGTAGGGATCCCGGTAACGCTGTGTCCAGCTTTGTAGGGATCCCGGTAGAGCTGGATCCATCTCTGTAGTGATCCCTATAGGGTTGCATCCAAACCTTTCGGGATGCCAATAGAGCTGTATCCAGCCCTGTAAGGATCCCAATCGAGCTGTATCCAGTTTTTTGAGGGGCCCCCTGGAGCCTGATTCAGTACTTTCGGGATCCGTATAGAGCAGTGTCCAGCTGTGTAGGAATCCAAGTGGATCTACCGAGCCTTGCAGGGACCCTTCTGGATCTGTATTCGAGGGCGCGCCGCTGGATGGCCCAAAGGAGGGGGGTGGTATCCGGGACCCCCCCCCCTTCCCCGATCCGTCATCGGCGGACCCCCCCCCCCTCCCACTTCCCGCTCCGTGGTCGGCGGACCTCCCCCCTCCCCTTTCCCGATCCGGTCCCCCCCCACCCCATCCCCCCCTTCCCCACAGGGGGAGGGGGGGGGTCTGGACCCCCTTAAGCGTGAAGTTCGGACCCCCCCCGCCCTCCCCTTCTTTCGCCACGCCGCCCCCTGGCGCGGGAACCCGATCCCTGCCACATCTAGTCCTCAACCTAATCCTTGCCCTAACCCCTAACCCCTAACCCAACCCCCCACTCCAAATTTTTTACTTCTTCTGATAAAACACCCCCACATCCCGACTTGGCCAGCCGATAGCAACCCCGCCGCTGCCAAAACAAAGCGCAAACTCATTTTATCCTCGCCAACATGTCGTCAAGTTGCGAAAAGTGTAGCAGGAATGGAACGAACTGAACATCGCTCGGGTAACCTAAGCGGGTGGTCGCGTCCTTCCCATCAAGAAAGAATGCAAAGTCAACGTTTTTCTCGTCAGCGTGGACTTGCTTGTCGTCGACGATGCGAAAAGTGAAGCATGAATGGGCCGCGGCGAACATCGCGCGCGGACGCCTGGCCAGCCCTACGTGGGATCCCCCGTTCTACCTGTCAAAAACCATTGCAAACGTCGACGTGTTTCTTGCCGCCATGTATTTACTTTTCGTCGGCGATGCGAATCGCGTAGCGGGAATGGGGCGCGGCGCACATCGCGCGGGGACGCCTGCTCGTCATCATGGACTTTCTTGTCGTCGACGCTGCGGCCCGTCGGGTTGAGTTGCTTGGCGCGGCGTGCATCGCGCGCGGCCTTGTTTCTCGTCGACGTTGCTCAATACGCGGCAGGAATCGGACGCAGCTCATGTCGCCCGCTGAACGTCCAGCCGCCCACGATATAAGATGAGCGACAGGCGCCGGACGCGACGCACTTCCTTTTTATGTTGTGGGAGGGTGGGTGGGAGTGGACAGAGCCCTCTGGCTTGTTCGAGCTGGTTAACTTGATCCTAACCCCTACCCTGCGCCAGACCTCAACCTGTACCCAAACCCCGACCCGAACCCCTAATTCAAACCCTAATCCCCACCTTAATCCTTACCCCACGCCCTGACCCTAAACCTTAACCCCTACCCGAACCCTAACCCCTACCCGAACCCCGATCCTAACCCTGACCCCTACCCTAACCCCAACCATTTCCCCCGACCCGAACTCTACCCCTTTCCCCTAACCGTGGCCCTTCAGCCTGACCCTAATCCCTGACCCTAACCCGAAGACTTAACCCTAACCCCATAACCCCATTTAAACCCCTAGCCCCGACCCTAATCCTTAATCCTTCCCCTAAGCCCTTATCCATCCCCCTTGTGAACCCTCAGCCATAACCTAAGCCCTAATCCCAACCCCCAACCCTAACCTTGACCCTAATCCTCAACCGCAACCCTATGCCCTAACCAACACCCTAAACTCTACCCTCACCCCTAACCGTAACCCGAAACCCTAATAGAAACACTTGGCCCGAACCATGACCCCTCAACCTGGCCCTAACCCGTAATCCGAATCCTTATCCCTAACCCTTACCTTTTATTCTTAATCCTATATTTATTAAGCCCTGAGCGCTGAACAACCGGGCACGTACGGGCACATACGGGCACATACGCTTACAGACGCACACATAAGCACCAGCATGTACACCGGCACCATCCGTTGCAAAAACATACGATTGCCTGATCATGCTTGCAGAATCCATTGCAGTTTGCACTGCAAATGCCCGTCCGCGGACGTAAACCCTCGCCATCCCTTGCAACATATATTATGTCCTGATCATGCGTGCACGATCCATTGCGATTCACAATACACATGCGCGTCCGAGGACGTAAACCTTCGCCATCCCTCACAACAGATATGATTTCCTGATCATGCCTTCGTACACCTATGATACTTTCCTTACCAAGTGCGCCGCCGTCGCAGAATCCTGCGTTTTACAATACGATTTCCATGACGTTTCAGGCGCTCACAACGCTCCCAGGCGCTCCCAAGCGCTCCAGGCGCTCCCAAGCGCTCCCAAGCGCTCACAAGCGCTCCCTGGCGCTTCCAGGCGCTCCCAAGCGCTCCCAGCGCTCCCAGGCGCTCCCATGCGCTCCCAAACGCTCCCAAGCGTTCCCAGGCGCTCCCAGGCGCTCCCATGCGCCCCCAAGCGCTCCCATTCGCTGTGCTTACAACGCGGGGAGAGATGATCTTGATGGTAGGGTGGTTTGCGGGTGGGAGTGGCAGCCGCCGCAAGTGGGCTCCTAGGCAGGAGGGGGCCAGCTGCGGCAGAGCTTGTAGACCTTAAACCCTTAACCTTAAGCCTAAACCCTGACCCTAACCCCCAATCCCAACCTTAACTCCTACCCTGACCCTAACCCCTACCCTCAACCCCTACCCTAAG